GAGTGAAGATTCAGGTAAATTTCAAGCTTTTCTTTCCCTTCCAGCGAGCGACTTCTATGATGGACGGTTTCTCTGTGCACCGTTGATGGTTCCTAACATTGATGAAACAGCTGTACATCACTTCTAACATTTTCAATGATTTGAACATTCACATTGCATAGTGAATCATATCAGGCAAATGCGAATGTATGGGTATGTGGGCAGAGGATCGGCACCCCGCTCACAAGTGAGACAAGCGTCTGTGTGTGTGTGTTCTTACTTGTGTGTGACTGCATGAGGACAGTTTCACGAGAGCACAGGGGTAAGGAAAACCGTCAATATGGTGCCTCAGTGGCTTCAATCCTTTACAAGCTGAGCAAAAGAAATCAACTTTTTCCAAACATTGCATTATGTTAAGTATCCTCGAAGATCAGCAGCTCCTCTGCATTCAGTTTACTGAACCAATAATTTTTCCCATCCAGGATTTGAGGTTTGGTGTCTCTGAAACATTGTCACCCGAGATGAACTACAAACTAATTAAAACAGTTTATTTCCCATCGAGGTTTAACGGTTTCATGAAAGACGGCATAAGTATGTCAAAATTCTTTCATTCACAGCAATCTAGTTTGTGCATCAGCTGCGTGGCTGGGTGCTTGTCCCAGAAGAACTCTATTTGATTCCGGAATATGCACATTGTGACATCAGAACACGTTTTCAGAGACAAACAATTGTTTTCAATGATTCATTCTCAAGTCTTTACAAATCATATAGGAGATGGTTGTGCTGAAATGGTCAAGGGTCATTCGGATTGGACGTAATTTGTGGGGGAGACGGGTTGGGGTTAGATCGACGTGTCGATCTGCACGACTAGGTCGTGACGGTCACATGGTTCGGAGCTGAGTGACTGGGGTGGGGGTGGTCCACTTGCGGCCAGGGTAATTGGAGGGCTTGGACGAACTTCTTCTGTGTACACAGAGCAGGTGCGAAAAGACGGATGCTAATCGCCTCTGCGGTGGCCAGTGTGTGTAAGCGGATGTGTTTGTGGGGATTGGGGGGCACTCGATAGACGATTTTAAATGCGGAATCCGTGCTTATTTTGTGACCTGAGTCTACCAGATGTCCGAGAATGGCACTCCCTATGGTTCCTGTTCCTCCATGTTGTTTGAGTTAGTCGCAGCTAAGGGAAAAACGATGGGACTGTGGTTGCGAGTTGAAATATCTAAAGTTAGTAGTACTTTCAGGAGGGTGGGTGTAATGTCTGTATGTTCTGACCCCATCTCCGCCGGTAAGTTGCGATTCTGGGCAAGATTTGCCTCAGACAGTCGATCACGATTCCTTTAATGTATAGGGGTAGTTTATGGCTTTCGTTCGTTCGCTCGCGGTTCGCTCTCAGCACAGCCGTCGCGTTTCGTTCCGTTTTCCGTTCGGTGTATTTCTCGTATCGGTACTGTTTCGGTGCCACGATATATAGAATACACCTCGCATCTGTAAACCGACTTACGTCTTCTCTATTCGTCCGATAGAGGGGATATCGTTGGTATTCGCTGCTAGACCCGATAGGAAACACGTTCGCCAGTCGCTCCCGAACGTCTTTCAATGAGCCAATAATCAAAACAGAATTCATAATTTCCGTCTGACCAGCGAATTCCAGCTATAGCTATGATGAACCGGTAATGAGAGATACACAAATACATCACCCTTAGTTTGGTTTGTTGTGACAAAAACAGTTTTCTGAAAATGTATTATCGATACCCTCAAATCACGGATAACAGTAATCAGACAGCACGGACTACACTCACGCCACGGAACGTAATCAACAGATAACAGAAATCAGGGTACCATTCACCAATTCCTGCATTTCAGCAATATCATTTAATTATAAGCAAGTCAAATATGGCAACAATAAACAATCGGAAGTTACTGTGGGTGTCAGTCTGTCGGTAAACACAAAGACCAGTGGTTAAGAGCATTTGCTTACCACCCCGAATAACAGAGGTTCGAATCCCCGTCATCATCGTTTGTTTTGTAGACAGTAATTCATCGTCGTCCGTCTCGTTACCAAATCTGACCTATTAGGGTCCTGTGCAGTTCTCCATTCAAATTCTCGGTGTCTGGTAGTCGGTTGTCTCTACCAGTGTAGTGGGCTTCTGTGGGTATATGTTAAACCATTCCACTGAACCCATTCGCAAGTTTGTAACAGAAAATCAAGGTCGGAAATGTGAACAATGCCACACCCGACAGAGCATGCAGGAAGAATGCGGGCTGTGCCCCAGAAAATCTGTAGTTGACCAACAACACTTGGGATTGTCTGAATTATTGTTTGGACCGAATACTGATTCTCAGTTCCAGAATGCTGGTCACCGCTTTAGTTTTACCATGCATCTTGCCGACCATTTTTGAAATCGACTGGTCCCATTCGGCATTTGGGAATTCAGCTTTATCATATTCTTATTTATGCATGTATTTCTTTGCTTATTTTGCTAGTATCACATTCATTTCCCACCATGCCATATCTTCATAACTGACCACTAACAACTTATGAGAGCACTGTACAGTTGTCTCAACGGGCTACTTCGAAACCACTAGGTGCCGCGCAATTCTACCGACTCCTAAATCGAACCCGAGATGAATGACTTCGAGTGACATACCCACATATTATCACCGGGCTATTTGAGCTAACTGCCAGTAGTCTGTTGATCACGAATACCACATTACATAGCGCAGGTCCATCAATGGCACGACCGGACTGCCTCCTCCAAATTTGAGATGTTTACTCGACACTGGGTAACTTCCAGAGGTGGAAAATTTACTCTACCTTTCCGGCACTACCAAAATGTAATCTGAAGTTTCCAAACTCAATACAACGTTTTTTCTGACGGAATTCATCGGGGATATGCGTTTTTCATTATGCGTCGTCGCTAAGCAGAATATGAGTAGATTTCCTAAAGCCCAATTTTGTCTGTAGTGAGTAATCTGCCGGATCCAAAGTTGAGATGAAGCTCAAACAGGACTATCGATCCTCTTATGCAACAGAACGATAAAGTTAAAAGCTTAAAAATAAACTGAACGGGACCAAATTGGTAAACCACTGATAGTGTCAAGTCATGACCCATATTCTTTGACGCTTTTTTTGTTAAAACAAGCAAGTTCATTTCCGGCTCCCGCGCAGAGGATCCATGGCATAGTAACACAAACGACGACCTATCATTCATTCGTGTTATGCTAAATTGAAGTGTGTTGGCATCTCTTACGTTCCTTTGGAGTCAAACATTATTTTAGGCGTCAATATTGGTCGCCTTGGTGGGAGCAATCGCAACGCCGATTTTCGGAGTTACCATTATTCATGCAAAACAACTAACTACTATAAATCATTTCAGTAGATAAAGGTACCTCCAAAAGTTTTAGTCCGGATCCAGACCCAACGTACGAAGAACTAGAAACGGCACTGAAAACGGTTCGTTCTCCTAGCACCTCACAAGGTTAGACGATGATCTAAAAAAGCGCCTTTTTGTTACTTCAATATCCAGACATTTTTTAAGGTTTATAACCTACTCTACCTGTGCCCACAGCCCATTTATGGACCACGACCTGTGACTCCGCACTCATTCCACCTGTTCTGTTCTGGTGTATTTGAAACCGTTCGAATAGCAAAACATCAAATCCTACTAAAAGGTAATTTTTCCCGGTGTAAACATTGCTTCCTAAGCAAGAGGTTAAACGATATTTAGGAAATGAGTTCATTTATTCCATGATTAAAGGGAAGGCGGCACACCCAGGTCTCAAATCTCGATTGCAGTCAAGAATACCCGGCAACCACGAAGTTTAAACTTGCGGTGAAGAAACGTATAACGTTCCAGTGCATAAGGCATGAAAACGAATTTGGAAGACGCGCTTTGCAATTTAAAACTGGAATTCCCTATATTTATATCGTTCGACCGACTACCTCGAAGTTAATAGGAATGTTATCCCACGACCAACAACGGACGGCACTGGGGAACTCAAAGGCGACGAAACCGGTACATTTCTTGAGTTTGTGACATAACTTCAGAACATGACGGATGACCTACAACAGGCACAGATGGACAATCTTTCAAACTATCTGATAGGCCGTTCGTTCTTTTCATTTCTGCTTAGATTGTCTATTTGTACTGTTTATTAGCTTTGAAGCGGAATCATCAGCAACATATTTCTCTACAGCATTCTAATCTTATTCACAATTCCCCCGGGAGTTACTTCAGAAAAGTCGGTGCTTTTCACAGAGATATTGTTAAGATATATAAATCACCAGTATTTAACAATAATGCAACAGTTGTGAACCATTGAGATTCTATCGTTATGAACTGTCTTCTGTTAGTCTAGGGGCTGAAGCATTTCTGGACGTCAGTTGTCATGTTTATAAGACATGTTAGCGTTATTTATCATCGTCTTTCTCCTTCTCAACGTCTGCTGACCGCATTATTGTGCATTTATTAACTGAACCTGTGTTTCATCTGTCCATGATTCTTAGCTTGTGAAGACAATGCGCATTCAGCTTCAACGCAATCTACCACGAACTGAGTTACGGAGCAGTCAAGACACGATAAAGAATATCAAACGAAATGAAAATTTACAGTTGGAAAGACACGAAAACCCAGTGCGTGAAAAAAACTAGGCACAAGAAAAGCACTAAGTCGCTCATCAAGATCGAAGGGGCAGGTACAGTGTTCGTGTATCCTCGAAGGGTAGGGACAGCTGAGAACAACTTCACCTAGGAATACAAATATCTTAAGAATGTTAAAACATCACAGAATGCGTTGACAACCGAAAATTAAAAGTGATCACATTCAAGCTGTGAGTACAGTAAAACAAAATAAAGAAAAGAATAAATTGAGCATATTTAGCGCATCTGAGCTCGAATCTGTCACCTTCAATCGGAAAAAGTTCAACTGTTATTCACACACACATTCAGGTAAACGGGTACAAATACATTCAATGATAACAGTTCATTAGAAAGACAATGAGTGAATAAGGAAGACCCTGAATCAGAGAGCACTGCGTGTTCTCTCCGGTTGCTGTGGTGCACTGGTTTTGTTCAAACCCTGATACAAATATCGTGCTTTGCGCTCCGCTGGTTTTAGAATCTGAAGGCATATTTGCGGGGGAGAAACAAAAGGAAGAGGAAAACACACAAGGCGTTCTCTTGCAATCAAGATTTAACTCATCAACGTACGGTTTTCAAAATCACAAAAAAACGTAACCCACGTGCAAAATTGTGAAATGTGTCAACCATATTCAGGGTCCGAACTGAGCAAGACTTCTTCAGTTGCAACGGATTTTAATTGCACTAAAACAATTATATATTTTCAGGGAATTTCAGTGGTACTGATGTCATTGAAACTCCGAGAAAATGCCAGTCATGAGAGGGTATCTAGGTCACTTTACTAGTCTGAAGTGCTGGATGTGTGTGGTGGTCGCATTCGACACAGTTTGTTGTTCAAATCCTGCAAAAAGCACACAATAAAACAAAAATTACGGGAACCAGGAGACTTGAACTATTACGGATTGGTTCCGGTAATCAAGTTGTGTATAGTTGTAATTCCAATGCTGAATTCGCAATGGAAAACCCATTGAAGACATGCCAGTCGCTACGTGGACCAACAGTCCCAGACTGTGATCGTAATCCCAACTCGGTGGATGTGCATCGCAATTCATGATTTTCAACATACTACAGAAAAAACTACGTCCTTGATTTTTCCATGGTGAGTTGATAGCTGATTCTCTTAGGCAGATTCTATATATATATATATATATATATATATATATATATATATATATATATATATATATATATATATATATATATATATATATATATATGGGGAGGACTTGGTATATGGCATAAGGTTCTAAGGTTTGTTTGCGGGTGCAACACTGTCAGGCTGCCTAGGCCAAAGGATAATTTTATTTTTGCGAATATAATTCACGTAGAAGTGATAGAAGAAGGTAATAAAAGAGCTTATCCATAAGAACTAAGTTCGTTGCAATAATGATAGAAGATGGAAAGAGATGTGACTCCCTGATTCTCGAATAAAGCTAGAGATGAATCAGCAGTACGACAAATAGCTAAGCGTTGGACCTTGTCCAGAAGAAAAGAGGAATTCTAGTGAATCCAATTCAACAATTTTGTTGATGATCCTTGACCAGTCAGATATAACGTCTGTACCATTTTTCCATGAATTTCCAATGACAACATGGGCCCTGATATTGACTGATAAACGTATATCATCATCCCTTATCACTCATCCAGTCAGTCAACCCGCCAACAGACCATTTGCTCTTTGCAGTTATTGAAGTTAAAGTGTAATTTTCATTAAGTTCCGTACTGCGTATTCGAGTAAGGACTGCACAGTGCTTCGAACTGTTTGCTGGCATGCGCGGTCAATGGTACTCTTCAAAGAATAAGCATGCATGATTGGTAACCTACAATATCGTAAGAACAACAGGAGGACCCTTTGCTATAGCTTACCACAAATTTGGAGTCTACACCTGCATCACCTTCTAGTATCGCATAAAGATATTTTTCGACATTTTGTAGGTTCATGTGATAAAAGCGCCTCTTTGCGCACGACGCCTGATTCTTTTATATCCATATGAAGTATTTCATTGCATTTCTTGCATTGAACGATGAAAGAAAAGCTTGGGGCGAGATTGTTAAACTATTCAAGTCGTATAACTTCCAAAACGCACTTCTGCAACACCCGTAGCATGATTATGCATTGTATCTCGTTGGATTAGAGCCTTTGCGTGTCTGTATCCTAAATAAGAAAAAACCTTGTGAGGTAGCGCTGAAATTCGTGCGTCAGTTCTCCATCACAGCTTTCCAGGAAACCTTCGTCTTTTAAAGAAGTCGTCTCATTGGTGTATTGCTCAGCTCGCAGCTCAAGCAGTGCTTTCCTTTTGCAAAGTTTTATCTTGGGAACGCGGATATAAAAGTACCATTCAGTAATTCCAAATGATAGCTGACACATATTGCCACGAGGCAGAAACTATGAACACCAAAAGGATTGAGTCATGTTTAAAACTCCGTTTGTTAAACGATTATGAGCTCTTAGTTGTATAGACCTTGCCGTTCAAAGAACAAATAAAACAGGTTGTTTGTAGGTGGAATTTTTGCCACTAACTCTGTTTAACGTCGTGGACAAAGAAATGCGAGGAAATCAAATCGAAGGAGAGAAGGGATGTCGTGTAGACAAAATCGTCACAGATCAAGACATATTGAAATCACGAGTGACAGAAATGAGCGGCGTAACAGTGAGAAAGCGACGAACCACGATTAAGCAAATGCTGCTGCAAAGATTAGATCGGATTGACTGCTGTTGTTTGTATACTTACGACAATGGAAGTTAGGTCGGACTGAGGGTGCTCAATTCCATTCTCCTTCCGAATGTCTTCAGATTGTGAAGCGCGATGCTGACGATGTCGTCCAACTCAAAGGAACGGCCAGTCTTGAATTTACAAATTATCCACTCGAATTGTTGATGGAAGATCAATTCCGCCGTCTGGCTTTCATCTGCGTTTACCGGTTCTCGTTCTACATGGGTATGCGTACATAGCTTTTCACTGTGACTGATCAAAACTCGGATATTAAACTGAAACAATTCGCGGAAGAGCGCCGATGCCTAGCCAATCTGAAACGTGATTCCACCCTGATATTACATAGTCAACAAAGTGGCAACCTCCTACCATGTGTTCATTGAGTCAGCCTCACTGGCGAAGGTTGAAGTTTTATGAAGCCTCAGTCTGCCTGCCAATACTGCGATGCATGGCATTCCGGCCGTTACTGCCAGTTCCCACTCAACTGCTGCTAACGTCGTCAAACTATTGGCCACAGAGGTTACTAGAAATCACGAAACAAAGGTATACCAAAGCCCAGTCCGATGACCTAATACAAGAAGGAATCCGGCAGTTGCTTTCGTGGCTTGGTTGCCGCCTTTCGAATTGGTGTTGCCGAACGCCGGATGCACGTCACGGTCAAAATCAATGATCGTACAGTCAACCTCCAACAGGACAACGCCTTAAATATCACGGTCACATCATATGATGCAGCCTGTTGAATCACTTTGCTTCTTTGGTTTTTCTCTGATTACTGCTTTTTCATCGCCTAGTAACCCTGAAACCACACTGGTTTTCACGCGGGTGAGTAAACATGGGGATACACACCACACAGTTATTTCCATTTTTCAGAAGTCATTAGCGGTGCGCAGTTGGTAGGTCCCATGCGGGGTTCGAAATCCGGCATCCGCAAACCACCGTTTTGAACGTAATTACGATGCTCTTTAGGCAGAACCTCGGGGTTTCTCAACACTGGACAAACAGTTGGCATCTCCTGTATGAATCTGAAATTCTATAACTAGGGCCGAGGTGAGAAGTTCGCTTGCGTACTTGCCTCGGTTGGGCTTCAGTAGTTCATCTAATGCGCGCACGGTGCGTTCAAGTTTAAGCGTTTGTAATGTCAACTATGGAAAGTTAACTCCAAATTCATTTGATCGTTTGAACATGTTGAGAAATTGTTTTTGCCGGCATACATCGCCGTTTTGGTACTCCTGATGTGCACTTAAAATGGTCGTGAGAACTGATTGATACATGATTTATTTTCTCCTCCGGTTGTCGTGTGGTTAACTCGCGGTCCCGTTTCAGGAACCTGTGCGTCATTGTCATCCAATGAGAACAGAATTAGCCTCATTCACCTGATGAACCCATCGATCTCAGTTTTTCACTTGTAAACTGTCATCAAGAAGGAGTGACTGTATTTTTCACTACAACCATCAGTTACCACGATCCACGTCACTAAACCCACATGAAGGCGATGATGACACATTGCGCGTGCGTGCCTAGCAGACAGGGCGGATGGCTGGCACTTGATTAGACTGCGTAATCCAATGCTTCGCGGTACTGTAGAACTGTAGCTTATTGACGTACATGATCCAGTCATTTCTGTTCAAACATTATATATATATATATATATATATATATATATATATATATATATATATATATATATATATATGTAAATGAGTTGATGGAAGCAGTAGTGGATACAATGACAAACACACGAAGGTTGTAGTTTGGCACGTTGTGTGTAGCAAGCCAGAAGGCATCTAGCACACCTATCTCAACTAATCAAGAACGTATTCACAATAAAAACGATATTTTGCCCCTCCTAACAGCAAGCACACATACGCAAGCAGTCTAGAGTGACAACGCACAAAGCGCGTGACACATCACCATATTCCGAAATTCAACCTGCAGGCAACCCTTGCTTTGTTACAACCGATGATAGTGAAGATGATGTCGACAACGATGCGCTCAGTAAAATCCAATATGGTCTGAAACCAGACCAAGCGAGTGTTGTGAACATACTGATGCGCTCGTTGATCTCGTTCGAGCTCACGTAATTTCCATGCGACGAAAAAGAAGCAAAACTATCGATCCGAAAACGTATTTTACTGGGTTCTCCAAACAACTAGCAAATATGTATGCTACACCTGTCTTCGCAGTTAAAGAAGGTATTTTGACTCTGAAAATAAACCTAAAAGGGGTTGTGGATACAGAACAAATACCGGATACAAACTATTTCCTATTATTACCGCATTTTTCATTCTCAATATTGCCACAAGTTTATCCTAGGAACATGCCCGAATACCTTTCGATTTTCAATCTGCTCCTACACTTGATTACATCAGAAGGAGCACGGGCACTGTCACATGAATGCGATTCGTCCGCCTTCAATTAATAATCACAATAAAATCATAATTTTGCACGAATCGACAGTTTGACTAGTGAACCGAAACTGTTTCCGGTCGAACACTGAACTGAGTCTTCAAGTACGATATAATCAATCATCGTGACTATCGGCCACGGTAAACGATGAAATCTCCTACTTTTTAACTGTATGGGTATCCTAAGGAATCCAAATGTAGTCCCTTACCAATGAACGAATGATCCTGTCAAGCGCTTCCATCGCGTAATCCGAGCTGAATTTCGTCCACATTTCTCACTTGCATGGCTCTGAAGATACAACTCCATCGGACTTGATGTCAGGTACATCATCGTCGAAAAGGTTCATGGAGTTGCGCCACAGGCAGAAGTGTGGATCGTTAAGTCCGGAAGAATCACAAGCCTACTGATAAATGGACCTAGGTTCATCAGACAAACGTATATTTAGTCTTGTTTTCTGATCCACCGTGAATCTTTCGTAAAAGAGGTCGTTATGACTGTCTCCAAGATTGTAGGTATTTCGCTGTTGAGTTTCACGGTCACGCAGTCCTTGTGATGAAATAACAAAAACGACTGAAAACCGCACAAATCTTCAGTAAAATAGCAACGTCCATCATAGCTAGTCTCCAAGTTCAAAACCTGCTATCCTATTTAAGTACCGAGCTAAAAACATACGAAGTGGTAGGGAAGTCGCGCTGAATCTCCAAATCACATGCCTATGGCCCCAAAGCAAGGGAGTGGTGTAATGGATCAAATCATGTGATTCACTCAATTATGGCTGCATAACATTCTCATGATAATGGTTCATATCGACCTCTCTCGGGGCTGACAGAAAATCAAAGGGCGCCGTAAATACATATACGAATCAATTAAATTCGACAACTTGATCCAAAATAATTGTGCATCATCCAAAATGATCAAGCGCGATCAAGGTATTTGCATACAAACTCTCAGATAGTCGATCAAACTGGCAACGGTTACCAACTCATCCAACTATAATCCGATCATAGACTATCGCTAGAGAGTAAGATTTCTCGCACAAACACAGCGCCGACTAACCCCGCGTAATCCTGCGCTTTCACAGCGTTGGAGTTAGATCGATCACATTGCTATCGGGTGTCACAAACGCGGGCCAATTCAAGACTGTCGATGATTTTGGTCCGTGTCTTTGAACCCCGATCACGTCCTTGCGTGGGCGCGTTTCAGCTTACTTCTCGCCGGGGTCCGAGCCAACACCAAGGCCAAACGTACAGCGCGGTTGCAATTAGACGATGACCAGTTATCCACTTCCCAAACAGAATTATCCATGAAGTTATCGATATTTTCATATGCCCAGAGTTCAGAAGAGCTACGGACAGAGATCAGGCAGGCCCAACTTCAGGACGCTAATTGCGCCCAAGGACCAACACACAAATATACACAGCAACGACGAGTGACTCTATCCTTGTTTGTAATGTTAGATGCGCACAGATCGATTCCTCCGCATACCAGGTATGATGAGTCACAGAGAAGCCTTAGATGCCAACTGATTTGGAGCCTGAGAAACGACTGTGAGCAGCGGTCGACTGCGAAGTGTAGGTAGATGGAAAACGTTGTGATTGGCAGTAGTCGCGTCTTCGCCTTCAAATAAGAACTATCGGTCCACAAAAACCAGGCTTCGTTTCGTTATCTAAGCAGCCACATTTCACCCGGAGGTCGGATATTGGATGAGGTGTCTTTCGGTATAAAGTTTTGTTTGGCTTTTTCGAACCTCAGTCATCCGCGGCACCAACATTAATTCTGTTTATCTATCAAGGATCAAGTGTACGCTACAACAGTCAGGTCCGTGTTTCTGTATAATTTAGAAACATGGTCACTATGGATATATGTAGATGTATGAAGAAAATGAGTATTTTGGCATCTATGTCTTCGCACCATTACTCTAGTTCGATGGGAATACCGTATTGGCAGTTCTGAGGTTAGGCGGGTAGTCTAAGGCACACGAGTTGAATCATTAAATGAAGCATTCAAGCTCATCAGGCTAAGATGGTTGGTACATGTGTTGCGCATGTCTCCAGACGGAATACTCGGCGCGGATAACGGTTGGAAGAAGAGTAGGGGTGGCCAGTCCACTACATGGAAGGGAGGTATGAAAAACCTAACCAGTGGATTTGGTCCGAAGAAACCTCCCACTCTATGGTTAGATACATTGAAGGATATGGCTTGGTGTCGCCATCAATGGCGCTTTGTATCCACAAACTCTCTTTACTGACTTAATAGCAATATTTATAATTTCTCTGTCATTCCTTTCATATTCGTATTCCTTTTCATTATTTTCTTTTGAAGTTGCCGCTAGTAGACAGCAATCAAAACCATCGCACTCAGTGCATGGCGTACCATTGTGTGAACTGAGCTGTGCTGAACTCGGATAGCCAGCTGTCTGTGAAAATTCACTGCTAACAGAGATCACATGAGTTATACCAGTAACGTATATGATACCTGCATAAATACATCCTTATCAGCAGATTATCTAAATATTACTTTTTCTTTAGGTGAAATCAAGGTCAATGTAAGCAGTGGCCATTGGCAAAACAAAACATCTGAAATAATTCACAAATAAAAGTGATCGCACAAACGACGGCTGTTCATTCTTCTTGTTAGGTTTTAAAGTATATTGCGGAAAAACTCCATAATTTCAGTAACGGATCTGACCGTATATGGTTTGAATTTGCCGAATGCTTCATTCTTAATTTGTGTTGACATATGGTAAAGGTCTCTGACCCCAGGGGGATTCGAATTCACGCATGGACGCTACTTTTGGTTTGACACCACGTTTGCTGCCAGAAGGCCACGCCAAGATGTTTCTTAAACTTCGTAAATGGATTTGCACTGTTATGATATTCGATAGAAACCATTTTAGGATTGAGAGAGGACTCCGGAATTTTCGAAATTAAAGAACCTAGAAGGATGATCCCCAGCAGCTTTGGTGAAAATCTTACCGAGTTGGACCAATGCAACTAACCCTGCAGCAATCAGACCCGTGCTTCTGTATGGTTCGGAGACATGGCCACTGCGGGGAGAGGACATACGAAGACTGTCGGTATTTGAACACCGATGTCTTCGTAGTATTGCTCGAATCTGGTGGCAACACCGTGTGAGCAATGCTGAGGTTCAGCCGAAAGTCTTAGATTCAAGGATCAACTTATTAGATAAAACATTTGAGCTCACAAGGCTAAGATGATTGGGACATGTGTTACGCATGTCCCCTGATAGGATCCCTCGGTATGCTATGTTTTCTGAGGTGGGTACCGGTTGGAAGATGAGTAAGGGTGGTCAGTCCATGACATAGAAGAAAGGTATGACAAGCCTAACTAGTGGACTTGGTCATGTAGGGTGTTAGACTTCTTGGGTGGGGTCCAAGTGACCCTCCCACTCAATGGTTAGGTACGTTGAGGGATATGGCTAGATGCCGCGATCAGTGGCGCTCTTACATCCACAAACTTTCTTCATCGACTTAATTTCATTATTACAGGTCACCTCTTACTCCTTTTATACTGTTTTCGTTTATTTCCTCTTGAGATTGCTGCTAGGAGATAGCAACCAAAGCCACCGCACCTAGTGCATGGTTAATGGTTATCTGAACAGAACGGAACAGAATGTAACTGACTGACGAACCAGGTGGAACATAAGTCGCAACCTGTTTGATTAACAACCAAACAAGCGGAAAATGAAGCAATCAATGCGCACAGACCGCTGACAGACAAAAATCAACCTAATATTACCGATTTCTTTTTGTCAGACATTGGATGCGCTTGTCCGTTGAAATGTGAATTAAAACGCCAACAGTGAATTATATTCAGTTCAAATAACCAATCAGAACAGGCAAATAACAGTTTTCAGAATAGGCTCTAATGTTTCAGTCTCCATCTCCAAATGATTGCGTTTACCAAAGAACTAATTACTGCTAGCTTACTAGAGAATTAGATGCCAGGAAGCACTAATGCAAGTGTGGTGTCAAACGTATTTGATGAACTGATTTACGAAGAACATCAGTGGTGGGTTGAAGATGAAACATGGAATCGAGTTTCTTGAGTTGTTTAGAGGCGTTTCGTGCCTGCAGCATTTGGTACAGTGAAAAGAGGGAATAAACATTGTTCAACATCTCCTAACTGCACGTTTTTCATGTCGGAATTCTCAGAATCAATCGCGGTGAGTGCTCGAGGTGGAATTGCTTGTTTGGCTAATGCAACTACTTCCAACTTAGTCAATTTAAAAGTTCCGAGGATAAAAAATTGACGCCAAATGATTCCCGGAATTACCAACGCTCGTGACGATTTGTTCAACTCACCTGAAACGAGCAGATCATATTTTCGTCCACTTTCATCATTCCGCCGGCATTGTTGAACTCATCGCAATAGTTCGGTGCGGAGAACACGGTGACCAGCTGGCGATGACCGAAAAACTCGTACCCATCTTCCACTACCTCGTGCGCACGACAGATCAAATCCAAATCATGTCTTGTCAGAAATTTGGAAACAATATCCACACCGAAATGGAAGCTCACATTTCTTGCACTTTCACCCCAACCGGTTACATCACTGTTCGGATCAGACCACAACAGATCACAAAGCAAACCTGTGGTTCAGTGAAGTACGGGAACAAAAAAACATACGGCGAGTTAAAAACAACATGATAACAATTTCGGCAAATAATCTATTGTCAATGAACTGGATTTCACAGCAGATTGTAATTAGGATACAGACATACCCGCCCCCCAGTTAAACAACCGCTCCCAGTTTACGGCAAATCACACCTATACATGTTCACGTGTGGGTGCTCGGCCACCTACCTAGGCCGAACTGAACGGCAAATTCGACTGAGAGTTACCGAACACGTCCCACGGTGGGTGGACGCCTATGTTAACCAATGAGAAGCACACAGCCAAAGGTCACCGGTCAGGCAGCTGCCAGCCTCTTCCATCGCAAGTCATTTGCTTGACATAAAGCACCGGAGCGACCGCACAACTGCTTTCTCTGTGTCTTCTCTGCCACCAAATCACGTCTACTACAATTTGCCGAAGCGATTGCGATCCAAAGATCGAAACTTAGTTTGTGCAAGTAAAAGGATTTATTCGTTACCCTGGGACATATGACTCAGGAACAAAACAAGAACAACCAAAAATTGTTGCACGGAAAATAAATTTGACGAAAGCAAAGGCTAAAATATGAAGATTTGAGGTTTATTGAAGGGTTGTCAGGGTGCTACGCACGACTACAGATAGAAATCCTCAGTGTACATTGTTCTCCAAGGTGGTTAACTATTGAGGGGTGGATCGAGGTTTTCAGTCAATCATAGTAGACTTGGTCGAATAAGACGTGCCAAGCTTCCGGGTTGCCTTTCAGGAAGATCGGGGATAATTGGGCACACGACTGATTGACGTGATTAGTGTAGTTGGAGTCGAACTATCTCGTTCAATACGATGTACGATATTTCATGCTTTCATTCGTTTCAATGCTGTTCGATGATGTTGAGCCGTAGTAAATAAGTCAAAGCGGAAAGTCGACACTTTATCGGCTAAAGCGACAGAATTAAACGAAAACGTCCGGATAAGATAATAGTTCGTTTACTTCAAGGCTTTGATTTGCTACTGCTTACAACGATCATTTGACAGGTAGTTATTTGAATATTTCGTAAAGGGAGATGGGTTTTTGTATAAGATTTACAAATTAAAATCCGTATTTTCTAGTCCATCGTTTACCGTCATTTCGAACAACGTTTACCCATGCACTGAATGCGGCGGTGTTTATTTGTATTTCAGTGGGAACCGGAAATGGAAATAATAGAAAAACAGGAGTGGGAACAGGGTAGGTAGGGAACTATAAGTAGCAGCACCTATTCGAAAAGGTGTCTGAATCCAAGAGCGCAACTGATAGGGACACCTAGTCATACCATGAAATCTATGCAACCACTGAGCGGGTGAATCTCTCGGACTCCATCAACGAAGCGCGACACGCTCTACATGGCGAATTTCACTGGTCAGGCTTTTCGTACTTTTCTCCTATGTCACGTACTAGCCACTCTCATTCATCTTTCAATCACCGCTTGCCACTGCAGCCCAGGGATTCTATTTTGAGACATGCGCAGCACATGTCCCAACTACCTTAGCCCGGTGGGTTTAGGTTTTTCTTCGAATGATTTTTTTCGTGTGCCTAATAATCTGCGTCTAACCTCAGCATTACCAATATGTTGTTCCCGACGTACACGGCACCGATTGACAAACATGAGAATGTGGAACAGAAAAATAACTCACTTTCATGTAAACTTATATGCTGTTGTTCGAAGTGTGGATTATTATTTGATTATTATCAAATAAACTTATTCCAATCGCAGCTTTTGAGGGATAGAGTTCACCAACCGAGTTATTCTAACCCTGGTTATCCTGTGATCCAATAAGTGCATTATTTTCGCCGTCAAATCCCAATGTGGAAAATTGTGTTAACAACACTGAAAATAAATTCTCTACCACAGTAAAGTCAGGACGGTTGTGGGATAACTAAAAAAACTGAACCTATAGCGTCCACAGTTTGGCCGCCGGAAAAGCATACAACTAATGCACAGGTATGTTCATGGCTACAAGATTTGTGAGGCATGATATGACGACATACACTGCGGTAAATCAATCTTGTCAGTCAAACTTCCGATGCGACAGATTGAACACATTTGTTGTTTAGCTCGGTGAATTCTGTGTTGTTCGCAATATGTCATTGATAGTATTCACCCGGCAAGAGTGATCATGATTTATTGCAGCCCACGTCAGGTGGAGTAATAAGTTTTACAATTTCATTTCGGTTCAGTTCATGCAACCTTTAAACACGCAATTCTGTGTTCTGGTTTTGGTTACTACCTTGTAGCATCGTCGATCGAGGGACAAAATGACTAGAACCATAATGTCAAAATAAGGTGAAAACAAAGTGATGAGGAAATCACAAAGACAAAGTAAGAGCTCGAAAACAATTTCGTCATAGGTCGCGACAGCTAGCCATGTCATTTAATGTCCCCAACCATCTGGTAGGAGAGTCTCGCGGACCCAAACCCGGAAGTCTCACAAGTCCCACTTGGTCAATTTAACTGATCAAGGTTTTCGTACCTTTTTGCCAAGTCACGGACTGACCACCTCGATGCGCTTACCGACTACTAACGGCCTCGAGAATAGCGTATACCTAGGAAACCTATCGGTGGGCATACTTACTGCATGCCCCAGCCAATTTAACCTGTCTAGATTCAGTACCAGTTCCGGTGACTGGCCAATGGTTCCCGACATCCAACGCCTAACCTCAGCACTACTGATACGGTGTTCTCAACATACTAAATCAACACTTCGGAGACATTAGGGCTTAGACACCGAAAGTAAAACGCGATTTCTGTGTACACTACTACACCTCATCCGTTATTCGACCACTTGATGAGCTGTACCTATTCAAGTAATAAAACTTCTCTAACTCGCCATGAGCTTCTCGGGGCAAGATAGAGTTTGGTGCTGGGTCAACCCTGCAGCAGCATTTTACCCTTCGAAGGTGCAAAACTCGTCCCAAACATTGCTATACTGTTGTTTGGGCTATCTAGAAAAGCTCGAATTTACAATCTGAAGAGAAATATCGTTCGCGTATTCTTATTCAGACACCTCAAATCAAAAATCAATGCCGCCTTTCTCGCACAAGGATAGGGCTATCTCAAGAACCATTTTAATTGAAAAATTGAAAAAAGGCGACAGGAGGCAACCCTGACGGACGCCACTTCTTCCTATCTCTACACCAAGTCATGGCCTGACCGCCGCGTAGCTCCTTCCAGCTTTTCTCATCACCTGCGAATATAGCATGGAAAGCTAGACGTTGGGCAGACATTCGCAAAACATGACCAGGTCACGGGAGGTGGTGCACAGCGATTACTTCGTTAAGAGGGCAACTATTCGTGCCTAACACACGATGGCGCACCCCGTCATTATTCACGCCATATTGTCATCAGACGTGAGCAATGCTTTGGAGACATCGGTTGCCGAGCACTCTCAACGTGAAATGGCCAGGTCTCTCAACCGTAGAGTAAACACACTACGAACCGCGATGATGCACACTTGTCCCTTAAGAGAAAGAGCCAGATGTCACGGCGACACCACAGGTGTCGCAGGTTTGCGAAAGCTGCTCTACTTCTCCCTATCCCTGAACCGATCTCCTTTGCAACACCACCTTCAGCTGTTATCAAGCTTCCAAGGTACCTAAAGTGGTCTATTAACTCTAGCTGATCAACACAAAAGGTGAGTGCAAGCACAGGCTCCTGCCAATCTCGCAAAAGCACTTTGCACTTGGAAGGCGCAAAGTGCATACCGTATCTGGATACCTCAATCGTCAAGTGGTTGTTTTCTTATGCATTATCACTTAGCAAGACGGTATCATCAGCATATTCCAAGTCAAAAACTCTGCTTCCAGAGAGGAGTCGAACTTCACCGTTTTGAAGACCAGATAAGGCATTCCGTAGAACATTTTCTATGGCAAATTTGAAGAGAAATCGGGATATAAGGCAACCTTGTCAAACTCCACTGGAGACAACAAAAGGGGAACGAAAGCTGACCGTAGGCCTTGACCCGACCCGAGGTGTGACGATACCATTCCTTGAGGATTGCTACATACTTCTCAGGTACTTTATTTCTCAAAAAGCAATACCATAGTGAAGCCCTGTCGACAGAATCGAAGGCCGCGAGGATGTCCACGAACACGATGATTGTCGATCTTTGGAAAGTGTGACAGTGTTCTAGAAGTTTTTGGAGGGTAAAGATCTGATCAATACATCCAGGACTGGCACGAAACCCAGCTTGCTCCTCGCATGTCTGATCTTCACGTAATAAGCACAAACTGCGAAGTATGACAGACGCAAGCAGCTTCAGCGCTATCGGGACAAGGCGGTTTTCAGATCAAGGAAGATAGAAATTGTAGGCCAACGGAAGGTGTGCCTGTGCTCTAAAATTTACTGAAGGCTAAAGATATGGTCCATATAATTAGGACCGGACGTTGGATAATCGGTGAAGAATAACCCCGGTGGGAAATTTTGATGCCATACTAATTTCTCTATGGTTTTCACAAGATTATCTGTCATCTTCGGTAAATCGGCAGTCACTGATTCGTATCATTCCCTGAGAACCTGCTGACTACCCCATATTACCCGAAGGAGTTCTGATAACGTCAATACTAAAGTTTTGCGTCTATCCTTGAAAAACGATAAAAATAAACCATCCGGTTCAGCTTCTTTGTATCTTTCTAAGTAACCTGCTTCCTGGATAACTTTTATTTCTGATGGAAGAGTGATATCTACCTCCATCGTTTTTTGTTATTTTACTCGGAAGGTTTACTTTAGAAGTGAGTCAACTCAACTGTTCCTTAGAGTGTTCCGCCTAACAACCCCACACAACTTCCCGAGAGCGAATGAGCGAAAGGTCGAATCACTTGATTATTTCATTTACACCAGTTTTCTGTAGACTGGTACGTCTAATCAAACAGTAGAGGTTGCGACTGTTGCCAATAGACGCAGCCTTGTCCATTTCCCTATATTTTGCCATCCACTACAGCTCACGGTCATTTCTCAGGCTT